ATAAGTGTCCATGGGACCACATTAAACCTGACCTCTAGGCAGATATAAAAACACAAATTAATGCAGCTCCAGTTTCATTTTTAGATCATCAAATGTACTGTATGTTTAATGTAAGCAGTGTAAGTACCTGATTTTGAATAAATCGATTAGTGCAAAACCAGAAATACATGACATAAAATATATAAATAACATAAACTGTATCTAATTTACGTTAACAAACAGATGCACGTAAATACAAAAATTCCACTGTTCATATGTGCACGATGAAGGGAAATCACCTCCAATATTAAGAGACTTTAATAGGCACCTTGCTTCAAACACAATACACTTAAATAAGATATTTATTATATACCATTAAACAATGGTGAACCAATACATGGCCACCAAAACTGAACATTAAACATTTACACGTCAATTGCATAAAATCACATATAAATGCATCAATGCTGTAGAGTCCTACTGAAAAATGCCGTCACATTTCACAGTTCTCATCTGCTTCATCAGGGCAGTTACGGGACACTCAGGAATATTAAAATAGAATTTTGACAGTAAAAGTATTTAGAAATGTTTTTATACAAACCTAAACAATATATACTAATCGTTTAATAGCTTACCAAAAACAGTATGATCATTGGTTCTTAAAGGAGATGTCATTGGTTCTTAAAGGAGATGTTGCATAGAGGCCAGCGGGGACCCGAAAAAAAGAGGATTGGGGCTGCTCTGTGCAAAACCATTACACAGAGCAGGTAAGTATAGACATGTTTTTTTTTAAACAAACCTTTAGTGTCACTTTAAGCTTTGGTAATAAAACCTGGAAGCTGATTGGTTTCTATGCAGAAGTGAGCCTGATTTTGCGCTCTCCAGCTTTAGTAAATAAACCCCACTGTGTATCAAATTGAAAAACTTCCACCATGAAGTGATACAAAATGTACGTGTGACACCCTTCACCAAACGGTCCCCAAAGGCGTAACCTCACAATAGGACCCCAGTACTGGAGCAATAGGAGCTTTAAGTTGCCACAAAAATATAGGATCAACAACTGCAGATGGTTGCCTTAGATTAATCTGTCATCATGCTATCAGCAGTACTCTACTCACAATAGAACCCCAGTGGTGGAGCAATGGAAGCTTTAGGTTGCCACGGGCTATAGGATCAACAGCTGCGGACGATTGCTTTGGATTTTACTGTTATCATGTCATCAGCAGTATTGCAGTCAAAAAAACTTAAAAGGAGCTTATAGTGTAAACAATATAAAATTATTTATTATTAAGAACCAACGTAAAGAGCTCAACAAAAGCACCCAACTGCCACTTCCTCTCTTGTCTCTGTCCAGCAATACACAAAACTGCATACAGGTAAGTATTACAGGGGTTGGCAGTATCTCAAGTCAGGTTGTATCTCTCCTCTATACATGTAGCTTTGTGCACATGTTTTGTCTTTACGACGTCATCAGGGGCACCTATATGGACCCGAATTTGAGGGCAAAGCAGCACTATGACCTGTTTATATGTTGACAGTTAGCGAAATGATAGGGAAAATAAGCAGACAGATGAGCTCATTACTGCGCTGCTTCTTTTTTACTGTCTAGCTGGGATCAGATCCTACACAGCCTGTACACATCGTGTTGAATGATACAGCCAGTCATTCAACCTTGAAGAATAACGCCATCTTGTATAAGAAAATAACTACCGTGGAGAACAACTCTGGATTAAAGGGGAGTACAGTTCAGGATTGAAGGTGATTGTTGCAGCAAAACCTGTTTTTTTATTTTATATTTTAATTTGATATTAATTTTATATACTGGAGTTTTGCATTACATCTCTAGCAAGATGGTCATGTTCTTGTTATACAAAAGTCTGAAGTAAGTTTATATTCCAGTAAAACAAAGCTGTGGTACCAAGGGTGGGAGCTAGGTGGGCATCTTGTGATTGATATAAATTAGGTAATACCGACACTGACTTATATAAAAGACAGCACATGCGTTATACCATGTTTATTATTATATTGTGTAATTTTACTAGCAAAATAATGTTCCTTGTATTTACATCCTGTTAAACCAAACACCATTGGCATCAATAAAATAACCCAGTATAGGTATTTGCCACAATGTCATCTAAATGCATCAAGCTGAGAACAGAGGTGCTTACTGGTTCTCACAAATAATTTGGCTCTTGGCGATAAGCACCTGGTTAGACATACCACAGAAAATGAAAACCAATCTTGATTGTTTATGAGATAATATATTGGATAATTGTTTTTCCTCTCCATCAATAAACCTTTTGTGTCTATTATAACTAAGCAGAGGGGGAAAAAAAGAGAACATGTTACAGAGAAAATATTCTCTCAGGGAAAGAAAACATTCTCTCGAAAACTGTGAATGTATTCCAAACAGGAACCTTCCAACGGTGAGAAATGCTTCAGGGATGTGGAAACAAGACTACTTGAGAAAAATATGAACAATTTCTACTGTTGTTTAAAATATTTGGAGATGTATCAACTCATAAAATCCAAGATTTGCTGTCTTGTAATGGGATATTGTGCAAATTCATGTCCGTACTAGTGTGATATTCTTGCATGCATTAATAACACAAAGCTCAGAATCCTTTAGCATTGAAAGAATAAGTTATAACGGTTTGGCCATGTCCATTATTTCCTTTGGCCAACCCAGGCATTTTGTTTATACGCCCCTCTATGTGCTCTCTGCTCTACCCGATGAGCATTTGAAAAAAACTTTTAATGCACTTTAGTTTCTTACATGTATCTAGTTGTATCAAGAAAGTCTGCAAATATAACTTTCCCTCTTTTTTCATTGCTCTTGCTGTCCCCTGACAACTGTATTGGGATTTTCAAATAATTTCCCTGTTTAAATTACTCATTTGATAGTTAGAAAAACCTTCCAAACATATTGATATTTACTGTATTTCAAAGACAGAGTCCCTCAAATCTGCTTAAGCAATGAACAAGGATCAAGCAAATCTAGTGGAATACTAGGAATGCCTTCAATGGTGCAATAGAACTGAATGCTAGCTCCTTTTCCTTTCTCTCCCGTTACTTCTCTTTTATATACCATTGACTGCAATGGGATTTCTAAGCTATAAAAAATAATTTTTTAAAACTAAAAGATTCTTTATATGTGTCAATCAGATCTGAGGGGCTACGCTCACACAACCTTCATCCAGGATTCCCACACAAAAATCATTATTTTTTTGGTAGACAATTACTTAGAACTTCAAAACACTATATATTTTTAAGCAGAAGCTCTAGAGAATAAAATGGCAGGTGTTGAATATTTTTTTATGTCACGTGGTATTTGCACAGTGGTTTTTCAAATGCGAATTTTTAGGAAAAAAAATGGGAATTTTAGTACACACAAACACAATATAACAATTTTTTGGGAAAATATAATATGTTATGCCAAGTTATACCAAATATGTCACTTTTTAAAATTGTGTGCTCCTGTGGAACAGCGCTGAACTACAGTACCTAAAAATCTCCATAGGTGATGCTTTAAAAGCCCTTACAGGTTACCAGTTTAAGGTTACACAGGAGGTCTTCAGCTAAAATGATTGCTCTCACTCTTGTTCATGGCGATATTTCACATGTGTGGCGTGAGCAGTGTTTACTTATGTGTGTGGGACTTACATATGCGTTTGCATTTGCATGTGAGCATGGGGGGTGGGGGGGTGCTTTAAATTTTTTTTCTATTTGATTATTTATTTTAATAAAAAAAATAATAAAATAAACTTTATTGCTATCACAAGCGATGTACAACAACCCTTTTTGATACCACGGGCAATGACAGACCCTCTTTATGGAGGTCTGTCTGGGGACTATTAGACCTCGTATCTCTCCTGTGGCCTCCAAAGTATGTGATAAAACTGATTTGATGAGATGCTTGTAAACATTAAACTGAAACCGGAAGTGACTAAATTCTCACCGCTTCCGGTTTCTGACCTCACATGGAGGAAACAACAACATAATTTCCACTCTCTCTCACTCTCTGTTTATTCCAGTTGGAGTAGTCCCGGGTTCCCAGTAAAGGCAGTGGGAAAGGCAGAGCGGCACCTCCTTCCTCCTTCTGCAGAAATGATCAAGTGGTGTTATAGCCAATAAAAATTACTTCTACTGTGAAGAGCATCACTGCCTAAAAATTCTGATACTGAAATGATGAAATGATGCCTGCAGGCATCATTCCAGTATAACTACTGAAACACGAGGTTGTCATGTGATGTCTTATGGGCAGCAAGTGTTTAAAGCAGGTCCCAGTGAAAATAAAAAAAATAAAAGTCAGCAGCTACAAAAACTGTAGCTGTTGACTTTTAAAAAGTAGACACTTACCTGTCCCTTGATCCATGGTGTCCCCCCCCCCAAAGCCAGTTTCACCAGCCGTACGATGTTCCTGGGCCAGCATCTTTAGTGTGGGCACCTGGCTGTGACAGCTTGTGGCTTCACAGCCCGTGATCACTGCGCATGAGTAGCGCTGCACTTTGTGAATGATCCCGTAGTCTTCTGGGACCTGTCACGTGTCCCAGAAGACTATGGTGAAGGAGGGGGGAGGACAATTTCCACTTCCGATCACCTAGGCGATAGCAGCGGAAGTGGGAATTTTCAGGTGCCCGCTCCCCAAAGGTGCCAATCCTTAATGGGGAGTGGGGGACCAGTCCTTAAAGCAGAACTTCCCCTTTTGGGTGGAGCTCCATTTTAAATTGAATTAAAAAATGTGTGAATCCTGAAGTTTGTATGGATCTTGCATGAAAACATAAACAGACCCCATAAATTGTATCTAAAAGCAAACCGTTTTATAGTTTTAGATACAGAAGAATTGTAATCTCTAACTTGCAACAATAGATACATCTAATAATTGTAAAATTTTGAGATAAAAAATGTCTCTCTAGCATACACTATATTGCCAAAAGTATTGGAACACCCCTCCAAATCATTGGATTTGGGTCTTCCAATCACCTCTTTTGCCACAGGTGTATAAAATCAAGCACCTAGGCATGCAGACTACTTCTACAAACATGTGTGAAAGAATGGATCGCTCTCAGGAGCTCAGTGAATTCAAGTGTGGTACCGTGATAGGTTGCCACCTGTGCAATAAGTCCATCCGTGACATTTCCTTACTACTAAATATTCCACGGTCAACTGTTAATGGTATTATAACAAAGTGGAGGAAAATGGTAACAGCAGCAACTCAGCCACGATGTGGTAGGCCACGTAAAATGACAGAGCAGGGTCAGCACATGTTGAAGCACACAGTGTGCAGAAGTCGGCAACTGTTGGCAGAGTCAATAGCTAAAGACCTCCAAACTTCATGTGGCCTTCAGATTAGCAGAACAGTGCTTAGAGAGCTTCATGGAATGGGTTTCCATGGCAGAGCAGCTGCATCCAAGCCTTACATCACCAAGTGTAATGCAAAACTTTTTATGCAGGAGTGTAAAGCATGCTGTCACTGGACTCTAGAGCAGTAGAGACGTGTTCTCTGGAGTGACGAATTGTGCTTCTCTGTCTGGCAATCCGATGGATGTATCTGGGTTTGGCGGTTGCCAAGAGAGCGGTACTTGCCTAACTACATTGTGCCAAGTATAAAGTTTGGTGGAGGGGGGATTATGGTGTGGGTTTTTTTTTTCAGGGGTTGGGCTTGGCCCCTTAGTTCCAGTGAAGGGAACTCTTGAGACATCAGCATTCCAAGATATTTTGGAAAATTTCATGCTCCCAACTTTGTGGGAACAGTTTGGGATGGTCTCTTCCTGTTCCAACATGACTGCGCACCAGTGCACAAAGCAAGGTCCATAAAAATATGGGTGAGCAAGTTTGGGGTGGAGGAACTTGACTGGCCTGCACAGAGTCCTGACCTCAACCTGCTAGAACAAGTCTGGAAGGAATTGGAGTGGAGACTGCGGGCCAGGCCTTCACACCCGACATCAGTGCCTGACCTCACAACTCCGCTTCTGAAAGAATGGTCATACATTCCCATAGACACACTCCTAAACTTTGTGGACAGCCTTCCCAGAAGAGCTGAAGCTGTTATAGCTGCAAAGGGTGGGCCAACTCAATATTGAACCCTACGGACTAAGACTGGGAAACCATTAAATTTCATGTGCGTGTAAAGGCAGGCGTCCCAATATTTTTGGCAATATAGTGTATGTATGTGTGGGCAAAAACATAAAAGTATATTGCACACAGGTCTGTTCTGTCATGTTTTGGGGGAAACTATCACTCAGAAGTTGTTCATTATTATACTGTAACCTAAATAAGATCACCTAATCTTCAATACACAATGGAGATATTACGACATCTTAAATCTGATCAAACATATTGTTCAGTACAAGCATTGACATTCATGATCAGCAAATCCCGTCTGATTAACTTGATTTACTGAATCTAAACTTGTGATCTGTCAAGTGAATCAACCTATACAGTAAGTGAGCATGCCCTTTACAGCTGAGCCACTGCACAAGTTTAGAGTTAGGTAGAGGCAAGTGTACATCATCAGGAAATCAGCATCCTAATTTGGACTTAGTCAAGTCCAACCAAGGCTATCAACAACATGATAACTTGCACCCATTTCCACATCACCAACTAAAGTTCTCCTCTGTTGATTAATTCTCTCAAAGATCTCAAATTTTAAGGATGGGAAATGGACCTGTGCTTAAAGGATAAGTTCACCTTTTGTAGCATGTTACACCCGTATTTAGGATTTAAAATCAATATGTAACATGATCCTCCCCCAATGAATTCTCCCCGCACCAGCTGTCATAATTCAGAAGCAGTATGGTTGTGCAAGGCTCTGCCCACACAGCCATGTAATTCATTCATCTGTGAATTAATGAACTGCAAGTCCTATATGCAGGGGCGGACTGACAACTCATGGGGCCAACGGGCAATAGGGGATCGTGGGGCCCCTGTGTCCTCTCCCACTCTCAAAGCACATCCAAAAAGCCTATAAAAAAGGTGCCAGGGGCATTTCATGGGGCCCCCTACTGACCCCGGGGCCCTCGGGCGTTGCCCGAGTGCTCGAATGGTCAGTCCGCCCCTGCCTATATGTCACCGTGGCAGATGACTTGTAGTTCTCAATGAACTGTGAGGGCGCTGGTGAGCACTCTCCTAGTTCATTGACACTTCCTGCACTTGAGTAAATGTCTGCACATTTGGGAGGTACAGAAGATGCGGGCAGACAGCTGTACTGAGTGTCTGTAGGAGCATGGCTATGCACCTGTGATCTAGTGATCATGGGTACAAAGCTTTGTAGGCTGCAGTGTAAACAAATAATAAATGCACATTTATTACATGCAAAATCATGTACATTCATTAATATTATTTATTTATTTATTGCAAAATGTGAAGTTAGCCTTTAAAGCAGAGTTCAGCCCCTCCCTCAAATACTGTAGCTGCTGACTTTTAATATTAGGGCACTAATCTGTCCAGGGATCTTGCAGTGTCTTCACCCCGAGCCGATTCTTCAATCAGCTATTGGGTGCTGGCGCCGCCATCTTGACAAAGGGAAACCAGCAGTGAAGACTGGTGGCTTCACAGCCGGTCTCCTACTGCACATGCGTGAAGTGTGCTCCACTTTGGGAATGGGCCACAGTGAACTGAACAGAAAGTGGGAGCGGGTACCTGTCAAAATCAGGTACCCGCTTCCCCCTCTCTCCCAAAGAGTCCCAAATGTGGCAGCGGGGGGAGGGAGGAGGCAGATAAGCAAAGCTTCCACTTTTGGGTGGAACTCCACTTTAAGCAGCAGGCGACTCTGCATATGAGATGTGACAAAGCAATGAGGTACAAGGCCTATGTGTCAGTTCACAAATTAATTGCTTCATCAGTTGAGTGAATTGCAAAACTCTAGTAACTTCTGATTATTGGATTGTTAGATGTGAATCTGAATTTGGGTAACCAAGTCCCTTACCACCAGGGGCAGACTGACAACTCATGGGGCCCCCGGGCAATAGGGTATCATGGGGCCCCTGTGTCCTTGCCCAAACTCAAAAAAGCCTATGAAAAATGTACAAGGGGCATCTCATGGGGCCCCCTACTGACCCCGGGCCCTCGGGCAGTGCCCGAGTTTCCAAATGGTCAGTCCACCCCTGCTTACCACTAATCATAGATCATAAGTAACAAGAAAGGATGTCCAAGTGACAGCTTGAATTACATATTTATATACAAATGCAGAAGAGCATAAGACCAGGGGCAGAAAAAGTACCCAATTTGAAGGCTGGCACTTTAGTACTGATATTTTTTTTTGATGATACATGTTACTGCCAGTTAAACAAACTAAAAATAATGATAGTGTATTGGGGTAAGTATAGGAATTTTGAACTGGGGAAAAATTAAGACTGTGCCTCTTTTTATTGAATCTACTGTATTTACATCTGTAGCTAAATAAAGGTGCACAGCAAACATTCTCTTAATCCTTTTGTAAATTTTGAACACTGACATCTAAATTACTGGGGATTACAAGCAGAATTTATGTTAACATTTTGTTACATCTCACTTACACAACAAACCTGCCAAGTCTCAACAGTTCAGTGGGAGGCAGCTGTTCCACAAACTACGCAAGGAATTGTGTGTGTAAACATCTGTAGCTGGGCACATAGCTCGATTTAGTCAGCTCTACATGGTGCCAGGTTTTCAACCAACGCTGCTACCATATTTTTAGTTTCTCACAATTTTCCTAAGCATAAAAAAAAATAATAACCTGTAGATATTCCATTTAAAGACAGAATTTTTACATAACAGGTTCTCAGACAGTAGTATGGGTACTCTAGGGGCTTCTTCTGATAAGACTTTGATTTTTAAAAGTAATCATTCCTAAATGTGAACATGTTTGGGCATAGGAGTGACGGAGATGATGGATGTAATCCAGTTTTTCCTCATTCAGACATGAACAAAGTTTATATTGTACATAATGGGGCCATGTGAAGATTAGGATGTACTCCACTAGATAGCAATGCAATGTGGAGTATATAATTGTAACACAGGCCCCTGATAGGCCCTGCAGATTTATCCAAATTCTCTTCCCAATAAGCTGCTGTAAAACCAATGATATTAAGAGTAAAAAGTACTTAGCAAAGTTTGCAGATTAAGTCCAATCTGATGTATCAAAATCACTATCAAAAACAAGACTCTCTTAGTATCCTAAGCAGCTTTCAGTGTCAAATGAGAGCTCCACCTGCCAAGGGCAGACATTTTTTCAGGTCCCTGAAGAGGGATTTTACAGAATAAGCAAAAACAATCAAAGGATCATAAGAGTGTGTGCTGAAAGGGCTTTCATTGAGTTTAGGGGCTTTGGCAAAAAATGCCTAAAGCTCCTAAATTCACATTTAGGAGCAGCAGTGTACATAAGGCCTAACATATTGGCATGTTCCCATAAATGAGTGTGACCACTTTTTAATGAATGTAACTCCATAACAGTAAGAATTATGAAGATTGCATGCAAATTAACTCTGGGTATGTCATCTGTATGTCAGGTCACAAACCCAAAGTCTGACAAATGTGTATTTCTTCAACAATTCTTCAGACTATTTACAACAGGGCATTTATGACATTAGTCCATTAGCAGTTGTTTGATGACTCTGGCTTATGAGGGTTTACAACAGCACTGCTTTCCTAGCTTGTGGATGCTTTCTGTCAATTGTGCTTTACTGACTTGTGCTTTAAAAGAAATGAGGGTGGCACTATGTGAAATAAGACTTCCCCATTCTCTTCACACACTTTGGGGTCCAGTCCAGCCAACCTCACTATCATCACAGCATGATGTGGGAATACACAGTACTTTTTTATACAGATTGTGCAGGGCGATGTACAGAGCGCAGCAGTATGAAGAATTTAGCGCACAATAGTTACACAGTCTAGCTGAAAAAAAGACAAAAGTCCATCCAGTTTAACCATTAAAAAAAAAAGAGTTATAATTCTACACCCACAGTTCATCCAGAGTAAGATAAAAGAAACCAGCAAAAACATGAACCAATTTGCTCCTGCAGGGAAAAAAAATTCTTCCTGATCCCCCCCAAAAGGCAATCGGATATCTCCTGAATCAACTTTACCTATAAATGTTATTGTAACGGAACTGGACCCCAGACCGCACTTGGCTATATTCTGTTATATCGCAGCTTCCCTGTCCGAACACAAATCCATGGACCACACCCTTGAAATCCCTCAGGAAATAGACAGCACCCGACTCTTCTTAAAACAGGAAGTCAACTCTTATTTTTACACAAACAACAAGTTATATACACAGAGCGGGGAAACACAACCAGGAACAGGAAACACATCATCAGCCCACCCCATCAGTGGGAAGGGCTACAGAAAACACATCATCAGCCCGCCCCATCAGTGGAAAGGGCTACAGCACATGGCAAAGGACAATGGACAGCCA